CCTCTGTTTCCTTTTTGGTCTTCTAATATGTTGTCCTATCCATTATTGAAAGTGGACTATTGAAGTCTCAAACTCTTATTATAAAACTCTATATCTTTCTTCAGTTACGCCAGTTTTTACTTGATCTGTTTTGAAGTTCTTATTAGGCACGTATATGTTTATAACTGTTATATTTTCTCCATGAATTGATACCTTATAAATCTATAATGTTTTTCTCTGTGTTTTATAAAATTTTTTCTTGTGTGAAATATCTTTTTCCCTTTGTTCATTATCAACCATATTTGTGTCTTCAAATGAAAAGCAAGTCTCATATAGATGGTATGTACAGATTCTCAACAACTTTGATGGGGTTATGTTCCAATAAAGCTATTGTAAGTTTAAAATGCCGTAAGAAAAAATGCAAAACAATGAAAAAAGGAAAAAAAAGTCAAAATGCATTTAATTTACCTAACCTACTGAACATAATAGCTTAGGCTAGCTTAAACATGCTCAGAGCACTTACATTAGCCTACAGTTGGACAAAGTCATCTAACGTAACAGTATTTTTTATAATAAAGTGTTGAATATCTCAACAGTTATAAATTATATATTGAATATTGTACTGAAAGTGAAAAAAACAGAATGGTTATAGGGTACTTGAAGTGTAGTTTCTACTGAAAGCATATGACCTTTGCACCATCAAAAATTGTAAACTGGGGACCATCTGTAATTGGGTTATTTTTTAAATCCATTCTGCCAAAATCCACCTTAATGTGTAATTACTGACAAGGAAGGAGATACTTCTGCCTGTTCACTGTTTGCTAAATACCTATTTGCTTTTTTCTATGTGTCATATCATTTTTGTTCCTCAGTTGTTTCATTGTTGTTTCCTTTAGTGTTGGATATTTTCTAGTGTACCATTTTGACTCCCTTCTCATTTCTTTGTATTCTTTTTAGTTGTTTTCTTAGTGGTTGGCCTGGGAATTCTAATAAGCATTTTAATTTATAACAATCTAGTTTAATAGCAACTTAGTGTCAATAGTATATAAAAACTTTGTTTCATTATAGATGTTTTGTTTAGTAATTTTGTCACAAAGTACATCTGTATGCATTGTGTGCCCATTAATGTACATAAATAATCATTTATGGTTTTGTCTTTAAACTATGTAGTAATAAAAGAGAAGTTACAAACTGAAAACACAGTGTCAGTGACTTTGATATTTATCTCTGTATTTACCTTTACCACTGTTCTTCACTTCTTTCTGTGGATTCAAGTTACTGTCGTTTTCTTTTCATTTTGTCGTGAGGTCACCCTTGATCATTTTTTGTAGGGTAGATGTAATAGTGACAAACAGTCTTTGTTTATGGGAAGGTCTTCATTTCTTTATTTTTGAAGGGGAGGCTTGCTGATGCAGAATTCTTGGTTGCCATTTTTTCTCAACACTGAATATACCACCCCACTGCTTGGTGGTCTCCATTGTTTCTGATGAGAAATTGTCTGTTAATCTTACCAAGGATCCTGTGTACATGATAAGTCACCTCCCTCTTGCTGTTTTTAGGATGCTGCCTTTGTCTTTCAACAGTCTGATTAATATGTGTTTGATGCTGGTTACAGTGGCTTCCACCTATAAACCCAACACTTTGGGAGGCTGAGGCAAGAGGACCCCTTGAGGCCAGGAGTATGAGACCATCCTGGGCAACTTAGAGAGACCCTGTCTCTACAAAAAAAAATTAAAAATTAGCCAGATGTGGTGGTGCACACATGTGGTCCCAGCTTCTTGGGAGGCTGAGGTGGATGAATTGCTTGAACCCAGGAGATCAAGGTTGTAGTGAGCCATGATCATGCCACTGCACTCCAGCCTGGGTGACAGAGTAAGAAGACCCTGTCTCAAACTGTGTGTGTGTGTGTGTGTGTGTGTGTGTGTGTGTGTGTGTTTCAGTATGAATATTTTTTTCAAGTTTATTCTACTTGAGTTTGTTGAGCTTCTTGGATTTGTACATTTGTGCCTTTCTTCAAATTTTGAGAGGATTTTTTAGCCATTATTTCTTCCACCTTCTCACCCCTTTCTCTACATCTCTCTCTTCTCTGCATCATATATATGTTAATATGTGTGATAATATCCCACTGGTCTCAGGCTCTGTTCATCTTTTTTAAATTTTTCTCTCTCTCTCTCTTTCTCTCTCATTGATAAAGGTTCTCACTTACTCTGTCACCTAGGTTTGAGTGCAGTGGACTGATCATGGCTTACTACAGCCTTGACCTCTTGGGCTCAAGTGATCCTCCCACATCAGCCTCTGAAACAGGGAGGCAAGGCTACAAACATGCATCACCATGCCCAGCTGTTTAATTTTTTTTTGTAGATTCAGGGTCTCACTATGCTGCCCATGCTGGTCTTGAACTCCCAGACACAAGCAGTCCTCCTGCCTCGTCCCCACAAAGTGCTGGTATTATAGGCATGAGCCACCACCCCAGGTCTCTCTCTTTTTTCTGCTCCTCAAACTGGATAATATCAAGTGTCCCATCTTTGTGGACACCAATTTTGTCTTCTGCCTCCTCAAATCTGTGCTGAATGTTTCATTTCAGATACTGTACTTTTCAACTCAGATTTTTATTTGCCTTCCTGAAGTTTCTATCTCTTTACATTTTCCATTTTTGTATTTTTTTGATATGCCATAGTTGTACCTGTTTTGCTGTTTCTCATTTGATGAGAATTTGTACTCATGATTTCCTTTAGTTCTTTTTTCTTTTCTTTTTTTTTTTTTTTTGAGGCGTAGTTTCATTCTTTTCACCCAGGCTTGAGTGCACTGGCGTGATCCCAGCCCATCATAACCTCTACCTCCCAGGTTCAAGTGATTTTCCTGCCTCAGCCTCCCAAGTAGCTGGGATTACAGGCATGCACCACCACCCCCAGCTAATTTTGTGTATTTAGCAGAGACAGGGTTTCTCCATATTGGTCAGGCTCCTGACCTCAGGTGATCCACCTGCCTCAGCCTCTCTGAGTGCCGGGATTACAGGCATGAGCCATCATGCCTGGCCTCCTTTAGTTCTTTATACATATTTCTTGTACATCTTTTAGCAGGTTTAAGATAGTTGATTTATTTTACTTGTATAGTAAAGTCCAGTGTTTGAACTTCTGAAGGGACAGTTTCTACCAGCTTCATTCTTCTTGTAATGGGCCCAACATTTGTTTCCTTGCCTGCCTCATAATTATTTTGTTGAAACTAGGCATTTGGAATACTATAAAATGACGTTTTGGGAATCAGACTTTTCCCCATCTCCAGAGTTTGTTTTGCTTCTTGTAGTTAGTATTGTATCTGTAGAACATACAACAGTTCTTTTTTTTCTTTTTGAGATGGAGTCTTGCTCTGTCCCCCAGGCTGGAGTGCAGTGGTGCAATCTTGGCTCACTGCAACCTCTACTTCCCAGGTTCAAGCAGTTCTCCTGCCTCAGCCTCCAGAGTAGCTGAGATTACAGGTGCCCACCACCACACCTGGCTAATTTTTGTATTTTTAGTAGAGACAGGGTTTCACCATGTTGGCCAGGATAGTCTCAATCTCTTGACCTCATGATCCACCTGCCTCGGCCTCCCAAAGTGCTGGGAGTACAAGGTTTGAGCCACTGTGCCCAGCCACATACAACAGTTCTGAAATAGAGCTATTGTATATTCTAAAGTTCAAGAATATATATTATAAACTACTGTTAGAATATACAATAGTTCTATTTCAGAACTAACTTTGTAATGTCTGTATTTGTCACATGTGGCCACTGAAGTCTCTTCTGATAGCTTAATGGTCATATAGTGATTTGAAGGCCTGGAACAAAAAAGGGAAAAAGACTTCCAGTCTCTTTACATGGGCTCTACGTGTACATAGGGACATGCCTTTAATACTTAGGTAGGCAGTTAACTCTGCCTTGCCCTTCATTTCTAGCTTGTGCAGAGCCTGAAGGTCAGCAAAAGGTAAGGGTTTCGTGCCTTCTGAGGTATTTTCTGAATATGTTCCCAGCCCTGGGTATATGCTTGGAATTATAGGTTCCTGAGAATTTGAGGAAGACTCTTCAAAGTCCTACTCCCCATCTTTTTCCCCATTTTTCCTTCCAGGCTTTTTGTTTAGTCTTTGGTTTGCTTCTACTGTTTTCTCTTGCCTCAGGCAGTACTGACTAATACATCTGCCTTTACATATGTCAGCCACATGTGTTCAGGGTAACCAGCTAAGTCCTCGAAGTATTAGATAAATCAAGGCAAGGCTTTGAGCCAGTCCTTCAGGGAACCACCAGACAGGTCAGAAAAAACAACCACAGAGTAAGTTCTGTTCTGCTCCCTCCAAGTACTAGGAATGCAGGCTGTTGTCTGCAAGGTTGTAGACAAAGCAGGAGAAAGAGGACGGGACTAGAGTCCATTTAAAGTATCATAAAGCGCTCTTACCCAGATTCAGCTGGGTTTTCTGATAAAGCATTCTCCTGATTGCTATGGACTTTCGATAAATTTCCAGAGTTCCAATAAAGTGGACTCTGACAGCTTTTGCCAGTTTATTCACTGTGACAGATGAACTTTTGGAATTCCGTACTCCACCACTGTCACTGTCATCCCTTATCCCAAGTCTTTCTTAAGCACCTCCATGTTCTTAGGTCTGTGCTGGGGCTTGAGAGTACAGTGATGAATGAGACAGATACGGTCCCACCCACATGGGATGTCTCTCATTCCTGCCTCATGAACTGAAGATCTCTTTCTTGTCCTGACTTTATATTCTTCACGGTTAAAAGTTTTGGGGCCACTAAAGTGTGCATTTGAACTTAGGTGTAGGCTTCTAGGGCTATTTATGCCCTATTACCTTGAATATTGAGTTGAATATGTTTGCATTTTTGTTCCCTGTGAGAGTTACCAGTGCATTAGAATTAAGGTATTTATTTCACTGCTCCTAAAGTCACACTTTTCCATCTTCAGAAATGTTGGCTTTTGTTTCATGGAGTTGGTTGTCCCCAGCACAGTTCCCTGTATCATGTGTATTTTTTCCATAAATAGGTTGTCATGTTAATAAACCCAGACTGATATCCCAGTGGGAACAAGACAAGAAGGTAATGACAGAGGAAAGAGGAATTCTACCAAGCACCTGTCCAGGTGAGCACCAGGTGTATGTGAGCCCTTGTGAGGAATAGCTCTGGCCAGTGGCTTGGTGGTTGGCAGTATTGCATTAGTTAATGTCAATCAGGGAACTTTGTAAAATGCCCTTTTCCTGACAAAGATGCACGAGAACATTTGGTATGAGCACCCTTGTGTACTTCCTTTTCTGTCTCTCTCTTCATCATCTCATACTTTGCTTCAGGCTCAGGGAAGAAACAAAGATGCAACTCTTTTTAAAATTTCAATCAAGTTCCTTCCCACTTTGCATTCCTGATCGCTCCTCTTTTTGTCAATCTGTGACCAGACTCAATTTGTCTAGAATCTTTGTTTAAAATGAATACTTAAACTTTTCATAACCAAATCCTCTTTGTTGCAAACATCACATGTGTAAGGGCAGACTCTAAGGGATCAGGGTGTTTGAGGATGTTTGCAACAAAGAGGACTTTGAAAAGTCTTCCTCATATTCTCAGGGACCTATAATTTCCATTTCTTTCCTCCATCAACCTAAATTTCTTTTCCATTTGTTTCAGATTTGGAGACTCTACTTAAAGCCAAATGGTTAACTCCTAAGAAGCATGTTTTCAAAAAAGAACAGTCTAAACGTGTAAAAACAGTAAGACTAACATGGGTGATTTCTGGTTTTCTACAGTAGGAGAATGCCCTAAGTTTAGAAAGGGTGCAAAATAACCAGGAGAGGCATTAAAGGAAAGTGTCATTTATAATTGAGAATGCCGTGTCCCTGGAGAGACACTGTGAAAATTGTGAATTTTTAGAGAAATATGAGTTAGCTCCAAAATTACTTCTTTACTGAGAGTTCCCACAAGTAAATATTTCCTATCTGTGGCTCAGATACTGACTGCTGGAAATGAAACTTCAGAAGTTATCAGAAAATGTTTTGTGACTCTGATAAGGGCTTGTGGCAAAGCATCTATCTTTTTTAACTTTCTTAGAGCTGAAACTGGGCAGAAACCATATACAACCACTTAAAGTGCCAAAATACCAATTATAATAATGTAATAGAATTCCTGGGAGATAAAATTCCTATGAGAACATTAAGTATTTCCTATATTATAAATTATAGTTATCATTCGTCTCTTAATCCTTAGGAAAGAAGTCATCGTGGAGTGAAGCTCAATGAATGCAATCAGTGTTTTAAAGTCTTCAGCACAAAATCTAACCTAACTCAGCACAAGAGAATACATACTGGAGAAAAACCCTATGACTGTAATCAATGTGGGAAGTCCTTCAGCAGTAGATCTTACCTAACTATTCATAAGAGAATCCATAATGGGGAGAAGCCCTATGAATGCAATCACTGTGGGAAAGCATTTAGTGATCCCTCATCCCTTAGACTGCATGTGAGAATTCACACTGGAGAAAAACCCTACGAATGTAATCAGTGTTTTCACGTCTTCCGCACTAGTTGTAACCTCAAAAGCCACAAGAGAATTCACACAGGGGAGAACCACCATGAATGTAATCAGTGTGGAAAAGCTTTCAGCACAAGGTCCTCCCTAACTGGGCACAATAGCATTCATACAGGAGAGAAACCTTATGAATGTCATGATTGTGGAAAAACCTTCAGGAAGAGCTCCTATCTGACACAGCATGTAAGAACTCATACTGGAGAAAAGCCCTATGAATGTAATGAGTGTGGGAAATCCTTCAGCAGTAGCTTTTCTCTTACTGTGCACAAGAGGATACATACTGGAGAGAAACCCTATGAGTGCAATGACTGTGGAAAAGCCTTTAATAATCTCTCAGCTGTGAAGAAGCACTTAAGAACTCACACTGGAGAAAAACCCTATGAATGTAATCATTGTGGGAAATCCTTCACTAGTAACTCCTACCTTTCTGTGCACAAGAGAATACATAATAGGTGGATATGAATTACTGCAGGAACATCTGGGGGAAAGCACTCATTGATCTTTCATCCTTAAGATATTTTGAGAGAGCTCACACTGGATGTATGTTATTTCTTACAGCATAACAAATGATCCCAAAAAACTTTGTGGCTTCAAACAGCAAACATTTATTATCTCACAATTTGTACAGGTCAAGAATTCAAGAACAGCTTATGTCTGTAGTTGCACTGCAGGATCTTTCATGCGCTTACTTGCGGTCAAGATGTCAGCCAAAGCTGTGGTCATCTAACATCTTTACTGATGAACAGTCCACTCCAAGATGACTCATTCACATGCCTGGAAAGTTGGTGTTGGTTGTTGTCAGGGGACCTTCAGTCATTAACATGTAGGCTTTTCCACGCAGGCCTCTTTACAAGGCTGAGTTCCTTTATGATTTGGCAATAAGTTCTCCCCAAGGTTAGTGATCCAAGAGAGGACCAGTACAGAGGCCAAAATGGCTTTTATGACCTATCCTTGGGAGGACTGTTAAGCTCTCTCTTATTTCCTATTGTATCGGTCTCACAACACACCAATCCTGATATGATGCGGGAGACTACAGAAGGTATGAATACCAGGAAACAGATCACTCAGAAACATCTGGGAAACTTGCCATGGAATTAATGAAGAAAAGCCCTTAGCACATCACCCTTTTAATCTAATCAATATGAAATAGCATTCAGTGACTCCCATTAATTCACTCTGAAGAGAAAAACCTTTTGAGTACAATCTGCATGGTAAAGTTCTCAGCTCCAACTCTTACCCTGATGGGCCCAGAAGATGATGTATTGAGAGAATCCCGAAGAATGGAACAGCTGTAGGAAAGCCTTCCGTGATATCACCGGGGATTCACGTGACAGTTCACACTAAGGGAGAAAGTCTGCAAATGTGTCATCAGAATGCAGAAGCCTTCAGGGACAGTCATCCCATAAGACACATTGGAAATCATACATGGAACAACACTCAAATGTGGAATACCCTACAGCAAAAGTGTTCACATTACTGAGCAAAATACAGTGTGGGCTTCTTCAGTGACCATGGGAAAACCTTGAATGTTCTCTCTGTTTTTAAGGGACTTGAGAATTAATTCTGGAGAGAATGCCTCATTGAACATCAACATTGGAGAGCTTTCCTTTTTTCCACATTTGTTAGGAAACTTGTGAGCATTCACACTGCAGAGAAACTTGCAAATATGAAGAATAAGAGAAAGCCTTCCATGATGCCTCTGTGTTAGGGAAAATATGGAACTTCTCCCTGGATGCAAAACCTATGAGTGTATTAATGTTGGAAAATGTTTCAGTGATTCTTCTCTTTCTTGTATATGAGAGAACTTATATGGAGAAACCCCTAGGAATGTAATCAGTGTTAGGATGCCTCAGCCTCAACTCTTCACTGAGTGGCCACAATTTTTACTGGGAACAAAAAGTGTAATAACTGTTTTGAGTTATTTTCTCTCTATCCTAGTACAGCAAATACTGTTGGCTTCTTTCTCAGTGTCGACTCTGTATTTGCTTAAACAAAGTAACATGTTCAAGTTTATCAGTGTCTCATCTATAGATTGGACTGCTAGCTCATTAATTTTTTAGTCTTCCCCTGACTCCCAGGGAAAATTAATTGAAGTCTTTTTTTTTAATATAAACATTTGTGTATAGCTGTTCCCTAAAATAAATATTAACATATTTCATAATTATAATGCAATATACTTATTATAATTTGCTTAAGGACATCAACACATTGCATATTCAAAAAGTTATTTCCAGATATCTTCTAAGTGATTTTGTTTATCATAATGGAAATTAGTATTTGTAATGCACATTTTTCTAATGGCATTATTGTCAGAGTACATGAGCTTTATAATACTTATTATTTACTCACTATCCTGGTATGGCAGATACTGTTGGCTTCTTTCTCAGTGTTTATTCTTCTTCTGTTTATTTGCCTTAAGAAAGAAACATGTTCAAGTTGTCTGTGAACAGTATCGAAAGTTCTCAATCTTAAAGTTTTTTTCCTGAAGCCCAGGCAGGTTTTTTTCCCAACTCCCTTGGCAATGAGAAGTAAGTAGAAGTCACTGTGGGGAACATCGTCTGGCTTGTTCTCCTCGCTTAGTTTCCATTCATCTCACCCATTCTGTCTCTTGGAAAAGTGGCCTCAAGATCTAGAGTTTGAAGAGCTTCTTTTTTTTACCATGATGGCAGAAACCAAAGTGCAACCAATGATTACAATGCTCTGGGCTCTCCAAGAGCCTCATGGCTGCGTCTGCTCTGGACTCCTTATTCCTACCCTTCTTACGTGTCTAAAAGAAACCCCTAACTGATTGAAGCCAACATGATCTGTTGTTTGTTTTTGAGGTGGTGTTCTGCTGAATTCCAGCAGAATGCAGAATCTAACTGGTAAACCTATAAATTGGTCAAATGTTATCCATGTTGTTTCTTTGAAAACAATGTATATTCTCTAATATTTGGATATAGGGTATATGCACATGAATGTAATGTAATCGTATTTCCAAATACAGTACATATGTTCAGATTTATTTTCCTAACCTTATTTAGTGATAGAGGTGTAGTGAACTTTCCCATTACGTTTATGTATTAACATACTGTAATTTTGTCATTTTTAATTTATATATTTTGATGTTATATAACTAGATGCATACAGGATTAGGTATATTCTTCTGTATTGTTCCTTTTTATGTGAAGATGATATTTTTACATAGCAAAGTATTGTAATGCATTAATGACACATGGCCAAACATTTATTTATTATTTAAAGACAGAGTTTTGCTCTTGTCACCCAGGCTGGAGTACAATGGTGCAATCTCAGCTCACTGCAACCTTCGTCTCCCAAGTTCAAGCTATTCTTCTGCCTCAGCCTCCCCAGTAGCTAGGATTACAGCCACCACACCTGGCTAATTTTTTTGTATTTGTAGCAGAGACAGGGTTTCATCATGTTGGCCACGCTGGTCTCAAACTCCTGATGGTCAAACATTTATATAGCACTTCCCCCTTATAAATCAGGCCCCCTTCTAAACGCCATATAAATGTTAACTGAGTATGCATTATAAACAAGTATGTAATGTTATCCCCAGTTTACAGATGAGAAAACTGGTATGATAGGCTTAAATCACTAGTCCACATTCACTGACTAGTAAATGGTAGAGCCAAGATCTGAACCCAGACAGGCCATGCACTTTACCACTCCCCTATTTATGTATATATGTGTGTGTGTGTGTATACACACATACATATACATGCATACATACGTACACTAGAGCCACTATAAAACTTGTTCTTTAGAGGAAGATAACATAATTGAGAGCCTCTACAAAGTATTGACAACATCCAACACAAAACAAAAGATGACTAGACATGCAAAGAAGCAGGAAAATGTCCTCAATTATGAATATATAAATCAATAGAAGCAGAACCAGAGATAATTTGGGTATTGGAGTTAACAGACAAAGACATTAAAATAACAATAATATGTTAAGGGAAATGAAACATGAACAAACCATAGAAAAATGAGAGACAAACTGCAAATCTACCAAACGACCAAAGAAAAAGGACACATTGCTTTCAAAGGAGCAGCAATAAGACTAATGATGACTTTTCACAGGAAACTATGGAAGCAAGAAAACAATGACATCTGACCTATAAAGGGTTAAATGGGTTGGGGGAGGGGGTAACTGTCAATCAAAAGTTCTATAACCTAAGAAAATACTCTTCAAAACTGAAGACAACATTTTCCAATGGGAGGGATTTTTTTAAGCTAAGAGAATTAACAGCATAACTGCATTTCAAGAAACAGGAGATTTCTTTAAGCTACAGGAAAACCATTCTATACAGACATAATTCCGGGAATTAAGATCAACAGGAAACATAAGATGTAAGTAAATATAAATGAATATTGACTGTACAAAGCAATCCTGCATAGTTTTACAACCTTTTTTTTTTTTTTTGAGACAATCGAGTCTCACTCTTTCCCAGGTTGGAGTGCAGTAGTGCAATCTGGACTCACTGCAACCTTCATCTCCTGGATTCAAGCAATTCTCCTGCCTCAGCCTCCTGAGTAGCTGGGATTACAGGTGTGCAGCACCACACCTGGCTAATTTTTGTATTTTTAGTAGAGATGGGGTTTCACCATGTTGGCCAGTCTCAAACTCGACCTCAGGTAATCCACCCCCCTCGGCCTCCCAAAGTGCTGGGATTACAGGCATGAGACAACAGCCCAGCCAGTTTTACAACTTTTATGTACATCTAAATGTTCCAAATAAAATGCTTTTAAAAACGCATTGAACTGATCTCCCCAAACTAAAGGTGGTGGAAAGCCTTGCAAGAGATTCCCTCAACACACACAAACACACAAAACCAGTGTTTATAGAAGCCGCAACAGATGGTGTGTATAGTCTGTATTCAGCAATAGAGCTGACAGAAGCCTTAGTAGGGTCATCAGGCCCCTCCAAAACTAGAGGCAACAGGACCTCAGTTAGCAAGTGTCATCCCCAAACACAAAATATATTGTTTGAGAAAGCAAGACATACATCCTCCCAAAACTAGAACTGACAGGGATTTCAGTAAGCACTTCCAGTTATCTCCAATACTTGAAATGACAGCAGTCCCAGAAGTGACTTCCTAAGCTTCCCCTCAGTACTAAAGAATGAGGAGCCCGAGCCCAGTGACCCTCCCCATCTATACCAATAATAAGGAAGGCACAGAAAGTGACTTTACTAATCCCCCCAACACTAGAGAAAATAGTTTGAAAGAGACCCTTCCAGACCCACTAAGCAGAGATAAGTGAAGCCCCACCAAATAATGCCTAATCTTCTCCACGAACTAAGACAATAGGATCTCCATCCAGTTACACTTCTCTGTCTCCCCAACACTTAAAAAATAGGAGTCAAAGGTAGTGATCATGCAGGTCTCCAAAAAACAGCTGGAACCTTAGGCCTCTTAGTTACACCCCCCCAACATAATGAGGATTCCATCAGATGAGAGCTTCCCCAAATGATCCCCCATATTTCTCTAACATTAAGGAAACCCAAAAAGGCAACTTTCAATCCCCTACATACTGAAGAAAGCTCTGGCTTCCACAACACTGTCACTCAACACAAACCCTAGCTTGCCTCCCTTGTCTCCCCAAGAGCAGACATGAATATCCCCAGCAATGACACCACAGTCTCCCCCCAGTAGAATCACCAGAATCTCAACAGACAACCTGGCTGGGTGCTGTGGCTCACATCTGTAATCCCAGCACTTTGGGAGGCCAAGGTGGGCAGGTCACGAGGTCAAGAGATCAAGACAATCCTGGCCAACATGGTGAAACCCCATCTCTACTAAAAATACAAGAATTAGCTGAGCATGGTGGCAGGCACCTGTAATCCCAGCTACTTGGGAGGCTAAAGCTGGAGAACCGGCTTGAACACAGGAGGCAGAGGTTGCAGTGAGCTGAGATCGCGCCACTGCACTCCAGCCTGACAACAGAGTGAGACGCCATCTCATTTAAAAAAAAAAAGACAAGCCAATAGGTTCTACCTCTCATTCAATTATCCCAAAATAAGAGTTGATAGAAGCATCAGGAAGCAACACCCTCAAAATAAATGAGGAGAGCCCACAATGTGAGTCTCTCAAGTCTTCCCTAACATGAGATGACAGCCCTTCTAAGAGCCCCCTTTATTCTAAACAAGAAAGAAGCTGAGCCCCAGCAGGCTACTTTTCAGCCTGCTCTTGCAGTGCAAATGTCTGTCCCCACATGATAGCAGATAACCCGGGAGGTGGAGGTTGCAATGAGCAAAGATTGCACCATGGCACTCCAGCCTGGGCAACAGTGAGTGAGACTCTGTCTCAAAAAAAGTTATGGAATCACTAGACAACCCAGCCATTCCACTCCTTGGTGTAAACTCAAAAGAAGTGTGTTCAAACAAATCATTGCTCATCCATGTTCACAGAAGCCTACCTCTACAGCCAAAGGTGGAAAAACCCCAAGTGTCCACTAATGGACTTATGCATAAACAGAATGCAATGTATCAACATAATGTAATATTATTGGATAATAAAAAGGAATGAAGGACTGGGTGTGGTGGCTTGAGCCTGTAATCCCAGCACTTTGGGAAGCCAAGCCAAGAGGATTATTTGAGGCCAGGAGTTTGAAACCAGATTGGTCAGCATAGTGAGACATCATCTCTACAAAAAAAAAAAAAAAAAAAAAAGCCAGGTGTGATAGCTTGTGCCTGTAATCCTTACATATTAAATGAGGCCAAGGCAAGAGGACTCTTTGAGGCCAGGAGTTTGAAACCAGCCTGGTCAACATAGTGAGACTTAATCTCTACAAAAACAAAATGCCAGATGTAGTGACATGTAGTCCCATCTTCTCAAGATGCTGAGGCAGGAGAATCGCTTGAACATGGGAGGCAGAGGTTGCAGTGAACTGAGATCAAAACACTGCATTCTGTGGATCCAAGATGGCTGATCGCTAACAGTTCGGGATTGTAGCTCCCACTGAAAGTGCCGAGAACGAGAGGACGCCACACTTACAGATGAATTTTCATCACTCACGGACCAGAAGATTCCCAGTGGAGGGGCCCCACGGATCGCCAGCGCGACTCTTGTGGCCGGTGCAGTGGTTTTGCCAGTGCCTCGGCACTGCAGCTCTTCATGCAGAGTAAATGGAAGGAGATTCCCGGGCAGAAGAGCACCATCAGTCTTATCGCTGCTGTTTTGGCCGGTGCAGTGGGTTGCTCGGATTCCAGTGCTGGGAATCAATAAACTGGGCATCCACTCAGAAACCCAACTAGAAAGGCAGTAATTGTAAAGACGACAGATGGATAAATTTATAACAAAGGGAAGAAACCAGCCTAAAAAGGCTGAGAATACCCAAAATCAGAACCCCTCTCCCTCTACAGGGGATTACAGTTCCTCATCAGCAACGGAACAAGCCCTGATGGAAAAGGACTGTGTGCCATTAACAGAAGCAGACTTCAGAAGGTGGATGATAAGAAACTTCTGGGAGTTAAAAGAACTTGTTCTAACCCAATGTAAAGAAACTAAGAACTTTGAAAAAAGGTTTGATGAAATGCTAACAAGAATAGACAATATAGAGAGGAATATAAATGAACTAGTGGAGTTGAAAAACACAACACAAAAACTTAGTGAAATATGCACAAGTTTGAATAGCTGAATTGATCAAGCAGAAGAAAGGATATCAGAGGTCGAAGACCTACTTAATGAAATAAAGCGAAAAGACAAGAATAGAGAAAAAAGGATAAAAAGGAATGAGCAAAGTCTCCAAGAAATATGGGACTATGTGAAAAGACCTAATTTACGTTTGATAGGTGTACCTGAATACGATGAAGAGAATGAATCCAAGCTGAAAAATACTCTTCAGCATATTACTCAGGAAAACTTTCCGAATCTAGCAAAGCAGGACAATATTCAACCCCAGGTAATACAGAGAACACCACAAAGATATTCCTCAAGAAGAGCAACCCCAAGGCACATAATCGTTAGATTCACCAGAGTTGAAACGAAGGAGAAAATACTAAGGGCAGCCAGAGAGAAAGGTCAGGTTACCCACAAAGGGAAGCCTATTAGACTTACAGCAGATCTCTCAGCAGAAACCCTACAAGCCAGAAGAGAGTGGGGGCCGATATTCAACATACTTAAAGAACAGAACTTTCAGTCTGGAATCTCATATCCTGCCAAACTAAGCTTCACAATTGAAGGAAAAATGAAATCCTTTATGAACAAGCAAGTACTCAGAGATTTTATTA